CCCCTCCCGAAGCTGTGCACTCTTCAAAGAGGATGACCTTCCTGGAATAGAGCAGGACCGGAGAATAGCTGTGCTCCCATGCTAGAATCTCCAAACAAGCCCTCAAATAGGTCTTTTAGATTTGAGTCCTCAGCTTAAGGGTCTTTCTGTGGTGAGCTGAGGGGACAGGCGTGAGCTGTCACACCCAGCTCCTCACTGCTTCTGTAGTGTTTTTAATCGACATTAAATTTTATGCCTTTCTTTATGGTTGCTTTCTACCACACAGACAGCTCTAATTTCCCATTTCCTGCAGTTAGTACAGTCTTTTTTTTTTTTTTTTTTAGTTCAAGTTAGGGAACAAGCTTGTTTCACATGTAAGTCCCTTCTCCCTCTCCCTCCCCTCACCCCCATCCCTCCTCCCCCAAGTACAGTCTTTTAAAATAAACGTGCTGCCCTGTAAAAATGAGCATGTCTCCACCGGTGAGGTATAGCTGTGTTAAAAAACGCAAGACCTTGGCACTGAATGGCTGCTGATCTGAAAGTGTCAGCCATTCAGTAAGTTCCAGGACAGCCAGGGCTACACAGAGAAACCCTGTCTGGAGAAACCAACAACAATTAAGAATAAGCCTTTGTTTCTCCCATGTTGGGCAAATGTGAAGTGCAAGGTTAAGGAGCCAGTGATGTGTCATATGATCAAAGCCCATTTCCAGTTCTTAGGGGATGTCCACACAGGACAGCAAGCTCTCAGGACCCTTAAAGCCACTAATTCCATGCAGAAAATCTCAGCCTTCATGGTGTCAGCTCAACCCTGTTCCCTCCCAAAGAGCCCACTTCCTACCCTGTTCCACTCCCTGCTGCTGCTAACTGAACCAGTGAAAGGTGAAACTTTTAACACTTTCTTTCATGTTGATTATAGACAAGTTCAACTTTAGTTCTATTAACGAAGGTTCAAGTTTAAATGACCCTTGATTTAAAGGATGGCATTTAAAAGTAATTTTTATTGCCTATGAATAAAGTTCTTTGTTTGTTTGTTTGTTTACTTGTGTCTTACTATGTATCCCAGGCTAGCTGTGGACTCCTGGACCTCCTGTTTCTCCCACAGAAGATGTATCCCACAGCACCCAGCAAGAATGAGGCTTATTTTATCTTGAAAGGATGTCTGGTTTGAGTGGGTAGACAGGGCTGCATCGGTGGACTTTGTAGCTACAAAGGTTTTGACAGCTGTGGACCACTGTAGATGCCTCCTGTGAAATGGACTGCAACAGCTCTTGGTGAAATATCCTCACTCTACACAGAGTGCCAGCAAATAGGTAAATAAAGACAAATTTGTAGGAGACTGATAGTCCCGGATGCCTGGCTTCAGAACTGGCATGTATATATGTGTGCATGAATGTTTGTGTGAATGCAAGTACTCACATGTGTTAGACAAGAACTCCACTACTGAGATACACCTCCAGAACCAAAACATTTGAGGGGCATGGATGGATGGAATCTCTTGCTGAACCTGGAGCTCACTGGTATGGCTAAAA